ACTCCAGAACTGGGTCTAGGACTTTGTGGTTCTATATACCTCAAAGCATTCTCATCTCTTAGATTTCATTTCATCTTTACAGTAACTCATTCAACAAAATTAATTGGTTGTTATGCCCCTTCCCCATTCTAAAGATGAGAAAACTAAGATCTGAATTGGTTACATGAGTTGCCAAAGGCCAAATATCAGCACATTACAGAACTAAATCCCTGACCCAAATCCTGGGATTATCTTGTGACACACCATCAGCTCCTCAGTGGAGACAGGATTCAGAGAAGAGGGGAGGAAGAAAGACTGGAAAAGGAGCCTAGGAAAGAAAAAGGAACTGGATGAGGAAAATAATGTGATCTAAAGAGTGAAAATGGAGGCAAGATATTGGAAAGAGAAATAAGGATATAAGCAGAGAAACTAAGGAGGAAATAAGGACTTTGTTTTGTTGTTTTGTGGGATGGTTTTTTTTTTGAGTCAGCGTCTCTCTGTAGCCCAGGCTGGGGTAAAGTGGCACAATGATGGCTCACTATAACTTCCGCCTAGGCTCCATGATCCTTCCGGCTCAGTATCCCAAGTAGCTGAGACTACAGGTGCATGCCACCACAACTGGGTAGCTTTTTGACTTGTTGTAGTGACAAAGTCTTGCTATGTTGCCCAGGCTGGTCTCAAATTCCTGGGCTCAAGCAATTCTACCACCTTGGCCTCCCAAAGTGCTGGGATTACAGGTGTGAGCCACCATGCCTGGCAAAATAAGGATTTTCTGTCATCCTAGATGTTATAACAAAAACTGTGCTCCAGCTTCTATCTGGTTATAAAGAGGGATGAAAAATTATCTTCTCAAACTTCAAAACTTAGAAAACTGTAAGATGCTCATCTAGATTATGAAAACAGTAGAAAAAGAATAAAGCAGAAAGGGGTAGGAAGACAAATGATGTCCCAAATAAAGGAGCAGAGCAAGTTCCTCTGGTGTTCTAGGACTCATTGAGGGGAAAAAACCCGCAGTCAATGCTTAACAGAGGAATCCCACACATCTGGCCTCCTCAACGCTGGACCCAAAGGTGAGAGAGGGGTGGCTAATCACAGTTACACTTTCCTAAAATTAAAACTCAACAAAAACAACAATCCTTGCTTTTATTGTTAGCCTTCCAGAGTTCATGTAGATTAGGATTTTTTTTTTTTTAATGACTGTTAAAAGTCTGCTTGGGATAAAGCTGACTCATAAACAGTGTTGTATAAACTTCTGCTTCTCTTCACACAAAATGAGAGATGTCTGAATTGTTATCCATGGAAACGGTAAAGCAGCTTAAGCTCTTATGGGTTGCCTTTGTGGGGAACAACAACAACAACAATATTCCCACAGAGTGGCCTCAAGCCTAACGGAAAGACTTCTTTTATGTTTTGAAAAAAATCCTGCAAAAGGGAGTGGCAACGGTAACGACATCCCAAAGACCATACAAAACTTCCACAAGTAAAACTGACTCTCTCCAAAGTTCCACTGGACACATCCCGGGCTCCAAAAGAGTTTTTGAAAAGCAAAGGTGCCCAGCAGTTGCCACTCTTTCCAGGTTAAAGGTTCCCAAAGAGAGACAGAAAAGTAGGGTGTGTTGGGGCACAGGCTCTTGTTGCAAAGTGATGTAGCATCCTGGGGCTGACTTTAGAGACCTTGCTGGCAAGAAGTGCGTCAACATACACAGAGTTCTGGTTGTGTCCTTCTAGGGTTGCCAGAGTCCTTTCTTTTTATTTTACCTTACTTATTTATTTTTGACTCAAGGTTTCACTCTGTTGCCCAGGCTAGAGTGCAGTGGCATAATCATGGCTCACTGCAGTCTTAGCCTCCTGGACTCAGGTGATCCTTTTGCCTCAGCCTCCCGAGCAGCTGGGACTACAGGTGGGTACCACCACACTCAATTATTATTATTATTATTATTTTTGTAGAAAAGAGGTCTCCAACTCCTGGGTTCAAGTGATCCTCTCTCATCTCAAACACCCAAAGTGCTGGGATTACAGGTAATCCACATCACCACATCCGGCCCAGAGTCCTTTAATAAAAACACAAAGACCTTCTAAATCTAAAATAAAATAAAATTTAAATTAACAAAACAAAATAAAAGCACAAAGGATGGCACTGAGAGCATACTGGATCCTACTGTCAGTTGAGAAAAGGAAGGATGAATGAGACTGAAGAGATTCATCTTTTCCCCAAAAGAGGAGTCTCTTGCACAAGTAGGAATTCCCAGACATCAGAAGACAACCCTTCATCATGGGCAAAAGACATATGAGGACCATGACAGGACTGCAGTTTAAATACTCAGACTTATGCATCCTGATGTGGAATAAGGGGGTTCTAGCAAGATTTAGAGGTCTAATAATGAGATAAGGGAGTTGGCAGTAGCATAGCATAGTGGGTAAGTGGCATCCAGAAGAGGGCAATGAGTTTGCACTCCCTTTCTCTGCACACTGTAACCTGCTGCACCAGAATTCGCAGGGGTGGGGATCAGACCCGAAAGACATACATCTTTCTCTGCCCACTTTCTGCTATGCCCCTGAGAGCTAGGCTCTAGACCTTATCAGCTACACAGGCAACTTATGTAACCCCAGGGCATTATTTCTGCAGGTAAAATAAATGACTGAGTTATTTGCATGAAATGCATTATTAGAGTGTGTTTTGAAAGCTACTTCTCATTACTGGCCTTACATATGCATTATCATTTAAACATTCAGAACCACCGTCATTCTAAAACGTACTTCCTACATAGTATGAAGAAAGACATTCCAAAAATCTTCCCAAGAAGGGGCAGGAGAAAACTCTTAAGGGAGAAAATACCTACAAGGACCATTGAAGCTAGTGCAACTAGACCAGTAAGGAGCAATTTGATGGTCTGATGACAACCTTTCACGATTGTCTCATTTTCAATGGCAAATGTCACTGTGAGTGCTTCTGACCCCAACAGACACTGTTTTTACATGGGCCATCTTGTAGCAGCTGAGAATATAGTACAATTTAGAATACACCAAGCAAAACAAAAATAGACTCTGGTTTGATCAATAAGTACAAATTTTATTGATTTATTTATTTATAAGTTGGGGGGTCTCACTCTGTCACCCAGGCTGAAGTACAGTGGTACAATCATGGCTCATCAAAGCCTCTATTTCCTGGGCTTACGTGATCTCTCTGCCTCAGCTGGGACTACAGACACATGCCACCATGCCAGGTTAATTTTTTTGATTTTTTTTTTTTTGTAGAGCTGAAGTGTCACTATGTTACCAAGACAGTTCTCGAACTTCTGGGCTCAAGCAATCCTTGCACCTTGGCATCCTTAAGTGCTAGGATTACAGGTGTGAGCTACCACGTTCAGCCATGTATAGTTTTCAAACAGAAAAAAGTTTTGTTTCATTTTTGCTTTGCTTTGTGTTGCTTGTTTAGCAATTTCGGATCAGGAAGAGATAACCTGAGAGAGAGCTGCCTCCCACACTTGAGTTTTTACAGATGAAGAAACTGAAATTATTTCCTTGAGAAAGGTACAATAACACATTGAGATCTCGCATCTATCTGGTGTAACTCCAATCGCTAAGAAGGTACCACATAGAAAATTTTCCTAAGAAAACGGTCCTCTCCTACAGTGCTGTCTGGGCTATTATTACACAGGCTTTGTAGTCAAAGAGGGCAGCCAATTCAATTTGTGCCAAGCATCAGGGCTCCAAGCACTAAAGAAGGACCTTGGAGACTATCTAGTCTAACTTCCTCACTTTACAGAAGGGAAAAAGGTGACCTAGAAAAGCAAAGCAACCAGGCCAGAGTTCCACATTAGATGAAAACAGGTTTCTCAACAGTGCCACTATTGATGTGTTTTTGTACTACACACTGCTTGGTTGCTGGGGACTGTCCTGTCCATTGTAGGATGTTTAGCAGCATTGTGGGCCAGTTGCAATCCCTCTACACAATTGTAGCAATAAAAAATGTCTCTGGATATTGCCAAATGTTCTGGGAGGGACAGGGAGGACAAAACTCCCCAAGTTAAGAACCCTGGGATAAACACTGGCACAACTGACAACCTAATCTAACTCCCAACCTGAGGCTCTTTTCATTAGTCACATGAAAACTTGTTTTCAAAATAGTATTTTGGAACTAGGGAGAACTGATTAATGCATTAAGTCACCATTAATACTGATTACATGTCAAATGATGTTATTAACAAGCTCTTAAAAATGTGTTTTACAGATGTGAACTAACTGCAATTACTCATCTGTGTGTGCCTGACCTGAACATAAAAACATATTAGCATATACATGAGCCTGAAACTACGAAATCTATAAAACAATGAGTCTCTCATTTTTGGTTGGGTAAAACACAGTAATGCCATATTAAAAGATAGTTCAGGAAGTAATTTTTTTTATTTTGAGTCAGGGTCTCACTCCGAGGTCCAAGCTGGAGTGCAGTGCCATGATCACAGCTCACTGTTGCCTCAACCTCCTAGGCCCAGGCAATCCTTCTGCCTCAGCCTCCTGAGATGCTGGGAAATACAGGCACATGCTATCATGTCTGACTAATTTTTAATTTTTTGTAGACAAGGTCTTACTATGTTGCACAGGCTGGTCTAAATTCCTGGGATTGAGCAATTCTCCTGCCTCAGCCTCCCAAAATGCTGGTATTACAGGCATGAGCCACTGTACCCAGCAGTTCAGGGAGTAATCTCCTTAGAAATGGTACACTTTCTCATCAGTCTTAGAAAAAAAAAATCACTACATATTGTAGCTAAGTATAGAATTACCTTGTTTTTTGTTTTAACAAGAAAATATTATCAAGTGTTTAACCATCTTATTGTGAAGTTAGGAAAATTCCATTCAAAGAGCTGAAAATTCCTAAACCAAGTGCTTCAAAATAGTGCCAGATTCCTCTCAAACACAGATGGTAAAACCAGGCTTATGAATACATAGTACACATAGCTTCTACTACCAATAGCAGCCTCTGATTTCAAAGGGCCAGTTCATTATAACATTCAGATTATTACCTGTTTCTCTTTTTCCGGTGTTCTCTATTAGAATTTTCTGACTCACTACCACTGCTTGTGTTACATCGTGAACGTGACCTGAAGATAAAATGATAAAAACAAGTTTACAACAAAACATTTATGACAAATGAAAAATCTCAGTAAAGGTTCATGTTGGTTCTTCAGAATTAATTTTGTAAAAATCACTAATCCAAACATAAAGAGCCATAATCTCCTCTGTCCCAGTCAGTGTCTGAGAATTCAGACATCTGAATGTGTCTACGGCTCAGGGATACATCAGTGCAGGAGAAATATGAAAGCTGATTTAGGCCAATGTCATGTTTCCAGAAAGGACCACAAAATCAATCACTTCCAACAGAACTCGGACACGGTAAATGTATAAGCCTCTGTGCTGGACGAAATATGGACATAAGATCTTGTCATTCTCCTACACCTTCATCCCCAACATTGAAAGGGGTAGAGTTTAATTGCCCAGTTGTGACTTGTTTTTACCAATGGAACGAGGTGGAAGGGATACTCTGCCAGTTCCAGAACTAGTTCTTAAAAGACTGGTAGCATCTGCTTCTTTCCAGCCACCAAGAAGCCTAGGGTAGCCATGTAGAAAGACCATGCAGAGAGGTCCCAGGCCTCCAGCCATTCTGGCAAGATGCCAACATAAGACAGAAAGTCCCTCTGAATAACATAGTCTTAGTTACCATCTGATGATAGCCTCATGAGACACCAAACAAGACTAGCTAAACAACTGCCTGTTTGCCAGGCATGGTGACTCACACCTGTAATCCCAGCACTTTGGGAAGCAGACGCAAGAGGATTGCCTGAGTCCAGGGGTTCGAGACCAGCTGGATAACTTGGTGAGACCTCGTTTCTACAATAAATAAAAAAATTAAGCTGGGTGTGGTGGCTCACATCTGTTATCCCAGCACTTTGGGAGGTGAAGGTGAGAGGACTGCCTGAGTTCAGGGGCTTGAAACCAGTCTGGACAATATGGTAAGACCTTGTCTCTATAATAAATCAAAAAATTAGTCAGTCTTTAGTTCCAGCTACTTGGAAGGCTGAGGTAGAAGGATCGCCTGAGCTCAGCAGGTTGAGGTTGCAGTGGCAGTGAGTGTGCCACTACACTCAAGCCTGAGCAACAGAGTGAGACTCCAACTAAAAGAAAAAAAAAATTAGCTGGGCATAGTGGCATGTGCCTGTGTTTCCAGCTATTTGGAGGGCTGAGGTAGAAGGATCACCAGAGTCCAGAAGGTAGAGGTTGTGGTGGCTATGAGTGTGTCAATGCACTCCAACCTGGGTAACAGAGTGAGAGATTCCTACTCGAAAAAAAAAAAATGTTCAACCAACAGAATTATACAAGCTAAATACAGTTGTTGCTTTAAGTCACCAAGTTTTGGAATGGTTTATAATATAGTAACAGATAACTAGAGACAGCACCTCTGAGACACAAAGGAGCAGAAAAAAGTGAAATGTTTAAGGATGCAACAGAATGGAAGACTGAGAACTAGTTGAAGCCAAAATAGGCTTTCTTTTTTCTTTTTTTTGAGTTAGAGTCTTACTCTGTCACCCAGACTGGAGTGCAGTGGCTGCTCCCGGCCACCACAGCCTCGACCTGCTGGGCTCCAGTGTCCTTCCGCCTCAGCCTTCCAAGTACCTGGAACTACAGGCATGTGCTACCACGCCCGGCTAATTTTTTGATTTATTGTAGAGATGAGGTCTCGCCAAGTTGCCCAGGAGGGTCTCGATCCCACGGGCTCAGGTAATCCACTCACCTCAGCCCCCCAAAGTGCAGGATTACAGGCTGAGTCACTGAGTCCGGCCAAAATAGGCTTTTAAAAGCACAAAAAAATTTGCCCCACTCTTGCCTCAACTCTGAGTACTGCTAATCTGTTAAACCTTCCTCCCTCTCTGATTCTGCCTCCATTTTGTTTCTTTACCTCCTCCTTTGCTTTAGATCTGAATCTTCACCACTGTTATGGGCTTTCCTACAAAAAAAAAATCAAGACATTAAAGAAAAAAGAATTACCAATTATCTAAGGAAAGCATGCCAAAATGAGTATCACTTCAGTTAATATATACCTACCACATATGGATTCATTCATCAAACAATTAAGTCAAAAATATATTCCCAACCCTATGTACAATTGGTTCCAGAAATAAAACATAATATCACCTGGCCTCAAACTAGTAGGGGGTGCAAACAGTCTGAATTCCATTCATCCAGTGATGGGGTTCATTGGTAGTTTCAGGTCTGCAATCCTCCAAGTCAATTTCTGCCATAATCTAACTGACATCAGTTCTTACTCTGATGCCCTCTCTATCATCCTGGTCTCAAACTCCCTTTATCTCTTCTCTAATAATCTCCTCCACTAAAAACTCAGCAATCTACTTCATGGTCCCACCTTGGACTTTATTATTTGTGACCACCTCCCAACACCTTGCTCTCTGACCACAACCTCCTCTCCATGCTACTGACCTGTTGACCACTTCCAATTTTCCTTCAAACAACTTCAATGGGGTATCCTGGTTAAAAAGTGCCACCTCTGGAGCCAATCTGAATGTGAATCCTGTCTCCTCCACCGATAAGTTGTGTGATTTAAACAAATTACTCTTCTACTCAGCGCCTCGCTTTTATTTATTTATTTATTTTATTTTATTTTTTTGAGTTGGAGTCTCGCTCTGTTGCCCAGACTGGAGTGCAGTGGCTGCTCCCAGCCACCGCAGCCTCAACCTGCTGGGCTCCGGCGATCCTTCTGCCTCAGCCTTCTGAGCAGTCGGAATTACAGGCGTGCACTACCACGCCTGGCTAATTTTTTGATTTTATCGTAGAGATGAACTCTCACTGCCCAGGCAGGCCTCGAACCCGCAGGCTCAGGCAATCCACTCACATCAGCCTCCCAAAGGTGCGGGATTACAGGCTGAGCCACCGAGCCCGGCCCTCACTTTTAATAGAATCCCCTTTAAAGAGTCCCTTAAAGGATAAAATGAATAAATACATTTAAAATGCATAGAGTAGGACCTGGGCCATTGTTAGCACTCAATAAAGGAGAGCTGTTATTGTCACTGCCTACTCAACTATTTCCATTCAGTCCTTTCTTTGACCCCAATAGGACCGTCCATTGACCTGGCTACTTTCCACTAGTTCTTCATCTCTCTTCACTGCCTTCCATATTCACCTTAGACTTCGTGGTCTGTTATTTCTTTTTTTTTAATTTTAATTTCAAAGATGTGGGGTACAATTCAGGGTTAGGTATACAAATGGGCATTGTACAGGTAAAGTTTAGGCCTCACTTTGGTCCTATCACCTGGTTTGAGACCAGATACCCCTTTTTTTTTGGAGTCAGAGTCTCACTCCATCACCTAGGCTGGATTGAGTGGCACCTCATGGTCACCCCAGTGTCGACATGCTGGGCTCCAGCAATCCTTCTGCCTCAGCTTTCCAAATAGCCGGAAATACAGGCGCGTGCTACCATACCCAGTTAATCAGTTTATTTATTGTAGAGATGAAGTCTTACCATGTTGCCCAGACTGGTCTCGAACCTGAGGCTCTTGCCTCAGCCTCCCAAAGTGCTGGGATTACAGGCTTGAGCCAATGGGCCTGGCCCAGGTACCCTTAATGATGAAGTGTGCCCCCCTGCCCCCTCCCCTGACAGTTTCCCATTACTGCCAATCCCTTTCCTATAGTATTATGACAATTGTTCAGGGTCCACTTATGAGTGAGAACATGTGGTACTCAGTTCTTTGTTTCTGTGATAGATCTAGTCTTATTTCAATAACCTGCACACCAGTACTCAATACCCCTACTCTCTGTTTTTCGGTCCACGTTTCTGGTAAAATCCCAGGCATGGTAAATCCCACTATGCAGGTTCTCTGGGCCGGCCCTAAAGAGCTGGCTAAGCAGTGCTGGAAGGAGTCACACAAAAAGGGCATAATTGTTACACTACAAATCCATGTTCACAAACCACAAGGGCGGCCACAACATGGTCAGCAATCCCACCACCTTTCTAACCTAAGAACTCTGTTTCTACAAAGTAGTTTCAAATACCATCCTACAGCCCGTTGACCCACAGCACCTCTGTTTCAGCATATGACTTTGTTTTCTCCTTCCAAAGGAAAAAGTAACCATTAGATGGAACTCTTGCATCTTCCTGCTACCAAAAATAAGAACTTAACCCCATCTCCTTCTCTGTTATTTATGGAGCTATCCTCACAACCAAGGTCAGTCCCTCCATCTGTACCATGTGTGTCCCATCAGCTCGTGTCACTTCAATGACTTCCATTAACTGTCCCTCAATTTTCATATACCAGGGAGCAGCACCCCCAAAATGGAATGTATTAAAAATTGTGCATTTATTCTTACATGTTTAAACTTCAGTCACCTTCAAAGTACTCTCCGTTTGATGCAATACAGCTACTGAGACACTTTTTCCACTGCTCAAAACAGTTTTTTAACTTGTCAATTTTGATTCCATTTAGGGCTTCTGCCATTTTTTTGTTTCATCACTTCCACATCGGTAAAATGTTTCCCTTTGAAGACATTTTTAATCCAGGGAAACAAACAAAAACAACAAAGTGGTTTGAGGCAAAATCGGATCAACAGGGAGGATAGGGCAAGAGGGTCATACCATTTATTGGTCAAAAACTGGCTCGGTGGCTCAGCCTGTAATCCCGCGCCTTTGGGAGGCTGAGGTGAGTGGATTGCCTGAGCCCGCGGGTTCGAGACCCACCTTGGCAGCGAGACCTCATCTCTACAATAAATCAAAAAATCAGCCGGGCGTGGTAGCGCATGCCTGTCATTCCGGCTACTCGGAAGGCTGAGGCAGAAGGATCGCCGGAGCCCAGCAGGCGAGGTTGCGGTGACTGGGAGCAGCCATGGCACTCCGGTCTGGGCGACAAAGTGAGACTCCAACTCAAAAAAAAAAAAACTGCTGAACACTCAGTGCTGTGTAAGCAGGTGCCCTCATAAATTACCCATTATGAAATGGGCAAACGCAATGAAAGAATCTAAAAGAAACAAAACAAAAACCTCACTAAAGCCAAAAGCAGACTCTCACTTACCGGAACACTGATGCCAATGTGTTCCTAGAACACTTACCTAGTGGGGGAAGGCTGTACCACAAGGGGCCCACCCTCCAAAAAATAATTCTGGGAGTTTTTTTGGTCCCCTCTCATATATTCAATCTGTTCTTCTGACAAACTCTCTTTAGAAGCTACTAACACTGTCAAGTCTTTCCTACTGAACTCCACACCACTCCTCATCAACTGCCGAGTCTCTCCTCTTCCCTTCAGAGACAGACTTCTTTACCCCCTGTCTGTGCTCCATGCGCCTTTCCTTACTTTCCATCATCTCGTGTCTTCACACTCTGATTGGGGTGGACATAGTTCTTTAATGCCACCCTAACGGCCTACATTCTCTTACATTACGTTTACCCCAGTATACCTATATCAAATAACATGACACCAATTATGTGGTCCCTATCCTTATATCACATTCTTTGGAAACTATTTCACTGAAACACAATTATATAAATATTGTTCACAGATAACCTAAGTAGTGTTCTAGGAATACAATTCCATTCGTGCATAGGTTTTTAATTTTCTGAGAGGATAACTGCCTAGTTTTCTACAAACATATTACTTGCTTAGTGTTCTTTTGCTTATCACTAATTCTTCATTCAAACTCTGAGAGAACTGCAAAATTCCTCCTATGTACTGACACTCAAGTCATCTGCAAGTTCCAGCTACACCCCTCCTGAAGCCCTCTGCCCTCCAGAGCATATCTGGACTGCTCACCCTCTAATACTGCTACACAGTTGTAGTTCTGATTAACTTCCTTCAACATGATCCGGGGAATTCCTTCTGCTTTTTTGTATAATGGATTCCATATTTCCAGGTCTTATGGCTTCTTGTCTTGGTTTTGGTAGAGCATATCTCTCCATTGTTAACAGAGAAAATTTGCATGGCAGGTACATTTTTGGAGATTTAAATTTTCTGAAAATATCCTTATTCTATACATACAAATAGAGTCTATCTGGGCAAAGAATCCTAAACTGAAAATAATCTTTCAGAATCTTGAAGACAATGGTTTTTTGCCTTTCTCTGATACTACTGTTAAGCAACCCAGTGTCATTCAGATTTATCACCATTTGTGCACAGATATTTTTTCCTCTCCCATATCCCCTTACTCACTCCATGTCTTTAAACTTCTCTTTTAATGCATAATGTTTTGAAACTTAATGATAATGGATCTTGCAATGGATAAAACGTTTCAATCCATTAAGTCAAACACTTCTCTATAAAGTCACATCCTTCAGTTCTAGAATATTTTCTTGCAGTATTTCTTTTTTTTAAATTTCCTTTTTTTATTTTAAAGATGCGGGGTACAATTGCACTATTTCTTTAACAGTTTCCTCTCCCACATTTTCTGTGTTCTTTTTCTCTTAGAAGTTTCCTTAGTTAAATGTTTGATATACACATTTGATAATTTTATTATCTTTAATTCCATATATTAGTGTTATTTTGGTTTTTCTGTATCTACTTTTTGGGAAGAGTACCTTAACTCTATCTTCCAACCATCTACTGATTCTTTTAAATTCTATCACACTAATTTAAAGTCATTGATTCTTAACTTTTTATGGCAATCCCCTAATATTTTTCATTTTTTCTACAGATAATAATTACAGATTTTGTTTGTTTGTTTTGTTTTGAATCAGGGTCTCACTCTGTTGCCTAGGCTGGAATGCAGTTGCATGATCACTGCTCACTGCAATCTTGACCTTTTGGTTGACTTCAGCCTCCCAAGAAGTTGGGACTACAGGCATGTAGACTGGCTAATTTTAGAATTTTTTTGTAGAGACAAGGCCCTGCTATGTTGTCTAGGCTGGTCTTGAACTCTGGGCTCAAGTGATCCTCCCATCTTGGCCTCCCAAAGTGCTAGAATTACTGGTATGTACCACTGTACCCAGGCAATAATTATAGTTTTTAGAAATTTTTCTTTGTGTCTTATATTGTCTACTTCCTGTGAGTTCCCTTCCACCCTACCCTGCATCCCACTTATTTAATTTAGTTTCTGTCTTTCCAAACATAAGCTATCTTCAAATCCAAGTAATCATAACTCCTGCTTCATATTAGAGCACTGGGCCCTAAAAAGACTGGAGCCCTCGGATGGTGCAGAGCACATTAACTCATGGCTTCCCTGTAACGTGGGGCAAAATAATGTGGGTAGGGGCCTCAACCATTTCACTGGAGGATGCTTTGAAAGCCAGTATACATAGGTCCTTTTATCTGGTCCCTATCTGTTTCTTACAGTGGGATTCTCTTATCTCATAACTGGGAGATAAAAGCCTGGCTTCTAACATTCTGGGAATGAAAAGAAAAAGGAGCCACTTGGTAAGTAAATTTTTACTCTTTTGATATTTTCCACAATTTCTCCATCTCCTTTACCAGTAAATCCTCTTCAACTGAGCCATTAATGCTGGAGGTTCTTACAGGACTGTCACTGGCTTTGTCTTTGTATTTTATCTAAACTATCTACCTCTATGGTCTCATCTTTATTATATATTTAAATTATTATCTTTAAGAAACTTAAATTTTAGTTCAAACAGCTAATCTAACTATTGACTTTTATCCAAAAACCATGTGAGCTCTGCATGTCTTTCCAGAAATTTTGTTTGTTAGTATCACACTAACTTAAAATCATTGATTCTTAACTTTTTATGGCAATTCATTGATATTTTTCATTTTTCTAAAGATAAAAATTACAGATTTTACTTACTTGTTTTGTTTTTGAGTCAGGGTCTTACTCTGTTGCCCAGGCTGGAATGCAGTTGCATGATCACAGCTCACTGCAACCTTGACTTCTCAGAAGTGCCATAAATTCAACATATCAGAAACTAAATTCACAGTTGTCCTTTCAAGTCTGTAATACTTACAGACGTCCATAAATTACAACTTGGTTCATAAAACTGTACAAGCCTGGGTTTCATTCTTAACTTCTGCCTCACCTCCAACCCCTCAAATAGACCCTTCCAATCTACTGATTTTACCTCCTACTAGCTCTCAAAGGCATCTACTTCATTCTATGTCTACAACACCACCTTGGTCCAAGCTCCTATTCTCTACTGCGAGGACTCATCCAATAGCCTGCTGCCTGGTCTTTCCATTTCTGCGACTACCTTCTTTCACCATTTCTCCAAAGGACAGTAAGGATCATCTCTGATCACACTACTCCACTACCGGCTAAGCACCAAAATCCTGAACAAAGCCAAGATAGGTCCAGTCCTATCTTTCTTCCTTGGCTTACCTCTAACATACTTCTGTTCACTCTCAGAGCTTTAGCAACCCTGGCCTTTTATCCTTTTTCATGAATGTTCCCTACTCCCTTCCATTCCAATTCTTTTGCATATGCTAGCTCCACTACATAGGGTGATCTTTCTATTCTTTTTTGTCTACTTTTATCTCAGATCCCAGTTCAAGCATCCAACCTCAGGGAATCCTTCCTCCCAACCTCCTTGGCTCAGCGATTCAGCAAACTTCTCCTAAAATTGCTGGTCACACAGGTGTTTGGTTAGCAAAAATCTATCAAGGAGTTACATTTATGATGAGTACTTTTTGTATGCATGCTAGGTTTCAATAAAAAGGTGTTTTTTTTTTTTAAATTCTCCCAAGCACCACATAACTCACTCATATAATACATCAAATTCATAATTGCACATATATTTGTGCCTGTAAGCTCCCAAGAACAGGGACTATGTCTACTGGTGCTTAGCACACAGCCTGGCATACATTAGGCACTCAAACATTGTTGAGTTTATATATGGAAGCTGAGGAGTGAAAATATATTGTACGAACAGAAAACATGCTTTCTTTTTATAGAACAGAAATATTTAAACAAGCAAGCTTCAGGGCCTTCACAAACCTCGAAAAGTATATGAAAATGTTTATGTGTACTTAAATAAGTACCTTTTCTCTTTAGAGAATAAATCAAACATTTCATCAAAATCTGAGGGTACAGTTACCCAAAAAGGTTCAGTATCACCATTCTAGACTCAGTTGGCATTTGATACCTTGTGTCCATCTCATGACAACTGACAAAATTGGACATTTTGACATCGATTGCAACACTTGTTATCCTGGCATCCAAAGCAAAATAGAATTTCCTATTATTAAATTTAAGTCCTTGAGATTCTTCCACACTGATGACAAATCTCAGTTTTAAATGTCAGAGTTAATCCAGTGATGTAGGGATTTGTGCCCAGGGGCAAGGTAAATGTGTGTAAAGATAAAACAAGACTGACAAGGATAGGGACATTTATAGGGCACTTACTGTGGGGGAAGGGGACATAGAATATGCTTCAGTTCTTCCATGCCAACATGTAGCAATGACTCATCACCTCAAAACACAGATACCCAATAAGTGACAGAACCAGACAAAAGACTCTATGGCTGCTCAGGCAAAAAGATTCTCTACCCAGTAAATTAAAATACATCTTTCTCCTGGACTATGGCAATAAAAGGGTCCTGTATCCATGCTTCTGTGTTTCACAAGAAGTCAACAACAAAAAAAATGTACCTCAGTGTAGAAGTCAAGTCTAGAATCGGCAATATAGATGCTCCAAGCTACTTCAAGTGATTAGTTTGTATGCATATTTTAGCAAAACTTGATTAAGTCCATTTTCAAATATATTAACAATTATCCACACTACATTTTTTATAAGGTGTTGACAAATTGCACTGTCAAGAATAAAAATGATAAAACTCGATCTAACAATAATACTACATGCTAAATTCTTAATATATCAAGTTATTCCCACCACTCACATCCTCTTAATACATACATATACAAATGCACTTTAACATATATCACAATGGTGCTACTTTGGTTTTAAGTTCTGTCCCAGTTGAACCAATCCTTGGTGTTTCCAAGGAGAAAGCTCAGTAACAGCTGTGGTAGAACCTCGTTTAACTGAGGTTTATTATTTCTACCTTTTTCAGATGTACAGACCAAGATTCTAATCCCAGATATGCCACAGAGGACATCTTTCCTCTGTGACATCTCTTGTCATCTCTCCAAGCCCCAATTTTCTCAACTGTCAAAGTGAGACAATGGTGCTGGGCTAGGTTCTTTGCATTGGTACTCAACCCCTAATAACTCATCTATAATCTCCCCTTTGCTGCCAAGATGAGAAGCCAGGAAATTATATTTTCCCAGACTCCCTTGCCTTCTGGGTTCCAGTTGGAGAGGCAATCCAGTAAGATCTGAAGGCAGGAAAAAGGAGAAAGTGATTCTGCTTCTCATAGCACCTGTGGCATCAACTTTTGCACTCCTGACAAGTGGGGGATCCATGGCTTTAGCTACAGTACTGGTACCTCCAGTCAGTGACAGGAAGAGCAGTTCCTGCTTAGCATCCATGGTGGTTCCTACAGCAACATCAGCAGCAAGCACAGGCTCAGGAGGACAGCTCAAAGGTGAAAGTAGCTTCTGATCTCTGGGTAGCATCCCCTTCTTTCCTTTATTTCTCCAGTCCAGGGGCAGTAATGCAACCAAATCTCTGGCTTACACCACTGTATGCCTTTTGTGCCTTCAATCCCATTCATATGTACCAACATAATCCCTCTCCCCTAGAAATGCCTCATGACTGAATGATATAAACGTCCATCCCCATAGCATTATTATCAGGATCAAATTAGACAGTATGTTGCAAGCACTTTGTTTAGTACTTGGAGCATGGTCAATACCAAACAAATGCCAACTATTACTAATTATTCTAATCGCTGTTGGCCCTGATGATCTAGCGCTCCAACCTCAGTCCTACAAGGCGATTGTGAAATGTAGACCTTTCTCCTCTCAACCATCAAGAGAGTTGATGAAGTGAGACCTGGTTTTAGAAAGCTGGGGACAAGAGTCTGGGAAACTGACAGAAGTAAAAGGGATCAAATAAGAAAGGACCACAAGTGAATATGGCATAGGAGAGAAAAGGGCTCTGCTTCCAAACCCACAGTGTATATAAAAAGAGTGTTGATGGTTATCTGACATCATGACCTGACCTTCTTGTAATCATAAAAGTCATGTATACAATACCTATTATGTGGGTGTCCAAAGTAAAACATAGTCCCTATCACATAAAAGTAAAATGAATTTCACTGATAAGTCATTTCTAGGTCTACTTTTTTTTGCACCTGTCACATTGCCCACCCTGCTTTGTAGAGAAAGTCCAAAATTTCCAGATAATGACTTTTAAAAAGTAAGCATACGTATACAAATATAATCCCCACACACATCTGACTTGCTAGGTAAAATGTAACAGGACTCATTTTCTCTGTGCTTTGAAAGGATTCTTTCAGCTAAGAAGGCTTATCTTTAAGTGCAGTTCTGTCTTCCCAGGTAAAAATATTGTATATATTAATATAAACAATTTATATTACATATTATGCATACTATAATTCATATTTTAGTATATATTATTCACCATATATACACACATGTTAACTTATTAGTCTTAATTAAAAGACGGAATGCAAGTTCCTGTCAACATTTTATGAAATTATTCTCTAAAATCCTGGTGTTTTAAGATATATGCTTTAGGAAACCTAGCTGAGTTTATCTCAAAAAGAATAAGCTATCTGTTATCTGGAGGAGAATGATATTATAAGAATTCCCTGTTATAAAGAAGTGCCTGGGACCCAAGGCTTCTGTTGAAAACTACAGAGGGGCTGTGTTCTACTTACCTTCTCCTCATGGGTTGTATAGAATCATTGTCACTTCCACAGGAGGGGTTTCGGCGACGTGTGTAGGGAAACTTTGGTGACTTAGTGCGGTCACTGGGGGAGTTGTAGAGTCCACTAGAGTAAGACAGGAATGGTCAACCTGAGCCCACAGGGGGCCCGGAGGAGCAAACACCCTACACCTCAGATCTAGAGACTCATTTGTAACAGTACACCTGCTGCTTCCAGGGGCATATGCACCATGGACCCAGGGTTCTCTTTGCTTATTGAAAGGAAAGGAAAGGAAAGGAAAGGAAAGGAAAGGAAAGGAAAGGAAAGGAAAGGAAAGGAAAGGAAAGGAAAGGAAAGGAAAGGAAAGGAAAGAGAGGTAAGATCTAGCAAATCAAATCATAAAAATCATTATATTGCAGGAATGGCTCTGCCTCACTTGCCTTCAATAATAAAAAAGGAACACACACACATGCTGACAATAACAACACATTTAGGATGAACCTACTCTACTGCTTGCTAAGCACTGACTGAGCTAAAGGCTATATTCATTACCTCAGCTAATTTTCATATCAACCTTCAGCACTGAGGCACAATTGTTAGACCCATTAAACAGAAAAAAATGGAAATACAGAATATTTAATTAAGTGGTCCAATTAAAGTAGCTGGGAAGCAGCAGAGTTAGAATTGAAACTCCTGGGTAATCATATCTGAAGCCACCATAACTACATAGCCAGTAAGTTATAATGCAGGTCTGGCACTGGTTTGGTTGCTACAAATAGAAAAAAACTAAATATAACCATGTATTTAGGACTAAAGATGTTCTAGAATCACTTTTTATAATCTACGGTTTTTGACGAATGCTTTTACAAGAACTATAAAATGGGAGAGATTATCATTACTGTGTCATTTAGAAGTTTCAGAAATAATACATTATCTTACTCTAAACCAGTATAATGACCTTTCTTACACTTCTTTTTATTTTTGTCTTTCCAAGAAAAAGTTTCACATTAAGAAACACACTGTTGTTGCTTTCCATTTCAGAAGTTTCCCTAGTCACACTGGTTTAGAAATCGGCCTGCCTCATCCACCGCGGGCTGTGATCAGTCACCCCACGGCCAGGTTCCTTTATTCAGTGAGCTGCAAGAACTTACCCCCTTTCTACTGCTCTCTGTTTTAAGAACAATGATTCCCTTTACCTCTGGGGGCCATTTTCTTCCCACAGTGCATGAGATTTGCTTCTTTGGGTATCAGGGCTGTTTTCATTCTTTGCTTTCTTAAAGCTTTAATTAAAGAATAAAAAGATATGAAAAATCAATTAACTAGAAAATAGAAGTAAACTCACATACTTAAGTAAAACTATTTAACAAGTGCTAATAAAATATGTATTTATTTGCTTGTATATACCTGTGATTCCAAAAAGAACATGAAGAGGTTGCCTAGAAAAAATATGTCTCTAGCAAGTACATTTTAGTCTTTCTCTCTCTCTCTCTCTCTCTCTCTCTCTCTCTCTCTCTCTCTCTCTCTCTCTCTCTCTCCTCCCTCCCTCCCTCCTTCTACTGCTTTAAGTCAACAGAAGCCAAGTTCATCAATTGTTAAGAAACTTTCAGGATGCTACCTGCAGGACAGGAGGCAAGGGTCACCTCTGACCCAAGAAAAGAAGAAAGGAAGAAGGAAACCTGGGGTACTCAGGCTCTTAAGGCTAGCTCCTTTTTACAACAGTGGTCAGAGACCCTCTGGCTCTGGACGTGGGTCTGAATCCATGCAGATAGGTCAGCTCCAGGCAGGTTCAAGCTACCCAAACTGACCTTTCCCCAGCTTCCGCCATATCTTGGCTAAATCCTACAAATCAGAATGACTTTCAAATGCTATTTCCTGACCTAGTATCATCTTTCTGCCCCAAGAATGTAAATATAACTGAGTTGTCATTCAATCCCAATAAATTGTTTTAGAAACACATGGAAAGACACAGAAGAAGGGGCTCGTCAGAAGCTTTCAGGCACCAGTAGGGGAGAAGGTGTGTCACCTCTCACGTCCTCAGGAGTCTTAGCTTCAGATAAAGGTAGAGCTACTTAATTCAGTCTACTGTTAAGCCTGGCTTTTTGAGGAATCCTCTAAATAACTGTCCTAGGATATGGTTATAGCAGAAATATTCATAGAGAGAGAAAAAACAACAAGGTCATGAAAGAAAGAAAGAAAGAGAGAGAGAGAGAGAGAGAGAGAGAGGAAGAAAAAGAAAGAAAGAAAGAAAGAAAGAAAGAAAGAAAGAAAGAAAGAAAGAAAGAAAGAAAGAAAGAAAGAAGAAAAGAAACTTGCACCCTTCCATACTATATACATGCAGGAATTAATGTAAGTCAATAAAATTATGTATCTGACAAAGGTATACAACTCATAATATTAGTAGATAGAAGGCAGGTTTTATATATGAAAAATATACTGTTTTCATAAAGGTTAGAAACTTCTTTAGATCCAATTCCCAAAGTAATAGCTTTCAGAATGAGGAGAAGAAATGTGGTAGATATTTAATATAACAGTAGAAAGTGTGTGTTCAATAAATCAGAAAGAAAAAGCGAGGAGAAGAAAACCAAGAGACTGAGAAAAGAAATAGGGAGAAAATCGGGCTCGGTGGCTCAGCCTGTAATCCCGCGCCTTTGGGAGACTGAGGTGAGTGGATTGCCTGAGCCCGCGGGTTCGAGACCCGCCTGGGCAGCAAGACTCATCTCTACAGTAAATCAAAAAATTAGCCGGGCGTGGTAGCGCATGCCTGTAATTCCGACTACTTGGAAGGCTGAGGTGGAAGGAACGCCGGAGCCCAGCAGGTCGAGGCTGCAGTGGCCAGGAGCGGCCACTGCACTCCAGTCTGGGCGACAGAGTGAGACTCCAACTCAAAAAAGAAATAGGGAGATGAAAAAGTAACTGAGAGAGTAGACAGAAGTTAAAGAAAAATGAAATCCTGGGTTACAAGTTAATTACATTCAATCCATAAGCTATTTCTCATCTGAAACTTGTGTGAGAAAATTTGGTGACCCTTCAGGTATCAGTACTAATGGCAGAAATGTGGTTGCAAAAGGGATTGAACTCCTGCACATTCTAAAAATGCCTGGGGCCTGAATTTCATGGAAGATTACTGTTGGATATACCATAAGCACATCCTGTACATGCAGATGAAACTGACTCTCAATAGCTGGGAGGCTGACTACGGGTGACACGGTAAACCAAAGTGTACACAAAGATAAAGAACTTGTCATTCCAAAAAAAGAATCTGTAAATGCTTTGGAACTAAACCAAAGAAAGTGTAGACAAAACCCTGGTTAAATGCCACAACTCTGAAATCTCCATATCTTACAATTATCTTGCTGAGAAATTATAAACTATATGTCTCAAGGAAGTCACAATCCCACTCAATAAAAGCACCATTATTTACTAACAAAAGATCCAGTAGATGATCTAAGTCTTTGCAGGTCACATATCTCTGATTGCTTGAATTTCTTCATGATGTGAGGCAACCTCTGTATAAAGAGTGAGCTTATAAAAGTGGCTCATTGTCTGTTTATAATGCTGCTCCGTGAACATAATTGGAGATAGGAAAAAATGATTCTGCAACAGTGTCTTCACAGAGAACAAGGCTGAGCTTTCAGGGAAACAAACCATGTAAGATATTAAGAAAAGGTATTTCCACTGGGGAATGCCGCTGGAAAAATTGATGCAGAAGACCATGACAAGTCTTCATACATATGCAATCACTGACTTCTGAGGCTCTGACGTCTCTAAATGCTACAAACCCTCTTTCTAAGGCCACAGTTCAGTGCACCACTGTAATGAACACAGTACATTAAACATGAATATCATCTACTTTATTTCACAAGTCCCTCCAAGTTAGTCCATTATTTCATGCCATTTAAAAAATCCCATGGAATTTTCACTTTGCTGCTGTGAATGCAGACAATCTGTGAATCCACCTTACTGATACAAAAAAGCTCGTCTTCTTCAAATGAGAGAGGCAGATCCTGACATTTTATATTTCACTGGCATTTTAAACTATTTATTGGCTCGGAGAATATTTACTGGAACACAAGGATCAAAAGTATTCATTAATTATTGGAGTAAAAGAGATGTTAACCTTGTCAACAAGAAAAATAATTTCTATGACAGCATACAATTGTATTTTTCTTCAGTTGACTGTACTGACCTTTTTACTGGTGAAGGTGCAATAAATTTAGTTGTTCCTTCATTTTCTCCATTTTCCATATTTGCAGTTATCCTATTGATGCTATTTGATCCTAGCAGCAAAGAGAGAGAAGGAAAGACGGAAGGAAGAAAGAAGACAGTGATAAGGAAAACAAAAAGCAGAAGACTTATTTTACAGTGCAATTTTAGGGACATCGGGGCATATTTTATTGACAAATTATAACCCCAAGTAAATACTAAATCACCCAATAAATTTGAGTTATTCTTTTCTGACATGTACTAGACCCTTATTATAATGTCCTGGGAGTCTAGGCTATGACCTTTGCAGACTTTAAGAGTTAACTAGGCCGGGCACAGTGGCTCACGACTATAATACCAGTACTTTGGGAGGCCGAGGTGAGAGGATTGCCTGAGCTCACCGGTTTGAGACCAGCCTGGGCTACTTGGTGAAACCTCATCTCTACAGTAAATCAAAAAATTAGTAGGGCATGGTGGCGCATGCCTATAGTTCCAGCTACTTGGAAGGCTGAGGTGGAAGGATCGCCTAAGCCCAACAGATCAAAGCTGCAGTGGGCAGTAAATATGCTGCTGCACTCCAGCTGGGCTACAGAGTGAGACCCCAACTCAAAAGAAAAAAGTTAACTAAATCCCCACCATCATGGACATTCTACTTTAGGCTGCTAAAGTAAGATACTAAGGCATTTATTACCATATACTGAAATATAAACAATAATAAGCAGTTCTTGATTATTATCAAGAACAATAATTATCAGCTCTTGTTGTGAAGAAGTTTCTCAGCATGTCATGGCAGCCCCCATTTAAAATCAAAGGGAAATATTTTAAACCCAAAAACATCCCAATTCATATGCAAATCAAAGAGTAATACAGATGTGATCTATATCACTCATATACCAAAAAAAATAGTTTTCAAATGTGTCTTTCGTGCAAATCTTCCTAAAAACCTAAAACTGAATTTTTAAAAGCCGTTATTCCATACAGATTTGCATATATGCTAGATAGACCAGCAGAGGGAGCCCACAGCAGAGACAATGTCGGATAACATGATCAACATAAAGATAACTCAAGTGCCCAGGTGGATCTTGGAGGTCTGGATCCCATCCTCAGGACAAAGACTGATAAGTCTGTAAGCATGCAATGTGTGGGCTCCAGTGAGGACTATTCTCCAGAGTGTATGCACCTCACTCTGGGAGGAGGCAGTTTTGCTGAGCAAGGGAAATCAGCCAGCATGGAAGCCCACTGCCCTTGTTCGATGAAGTCTATGCGCCATGCAGATGTGTCTTCCTCAGGGATGCTTTTATGGGTAGGGAAATGTGCATAGCTAGAGTCCTTGAATCCAAATCATCACTCACCACTGAGCACATGAGTCATGGAGACAAGTCTGTAGTATTAGTACTAATGTTTATTGAGCACTTACTATATGTCAGATGCTATTCCATGCACTTCACACCTATTTACTCATGTAATCCTCAAAATAATCCTATGAAGTAGACATTAATATTATCCCATTTTTAAAGACAACAAAATTGGTCTTTCCCAAAGTCCCACAACTCATGAGTGGTGGGGCAAGTTTTGAAACTGAGCAGTCTGGCTCCAGAGACTTGGCTCTAAACCACATAAAACTTCCATCTGTGGACCACCTATAAACAATTCAAAAGTCAGCCTGAACTAAGGGTCAGCTGGGAGAGAGAGACTCTTTAGAGGACAAGTGAAAGGAATGCCCAGTGAGGAACATCTAACAGCCAACTAAGAGAAGAATCCTTTCTCTCTAGGGCAATTGAGGTGGAAAGACAAGAATAATATTCAAGCACCCCCCAAGCTGGCAAATTTCCTCCAGAGCAGTATGGAGGTATGTTTGGCTATTCGTTAGGAACAAATATACTTTGGACAGAGAAAACAAAGAGCAGTTCCAAAAACCTTTACTCTAAGGAATACAATATGGATCCAATATCTGAATCTTGTTCCTATTTTGAAATCGTGAAATGGAAAGGTAAGCCTGAAGATACACATGGCACTAAAGGTAAACTCACACTGGAGCCACTACCAATATCTAAACAACATCCAGAATCCAGGCATGAGAAAATTATAATACTGGGGGGTAAATTTCACCAGGTGTGCGATAAATGGGAAACCACCAGTTAATTCCCTGGAACTACTCCATGTGCTATCAAACATCAGCAGTAGTCATTCACCATCTAAGTCACTTCTGCCATAACCACACGGTCATTAACAAAATTATGCCTGGTGCAGTGGCTCACACCTGTAATCCTAGCACTTTGGGAGGCCAAGGTGAAAGGATTTCCTAAGCCGAAAGATTCAAGACCAGACTGGGCAACCTCATCTCTACAATAAATCAAAAAATTAGCTGAGTGTGGTGGTATGCACCTGTAGTTCCAGCTACTTGAAGGGCTGAAGCAGAAGGATCGCATGAGCCCAGCAGGTCAAGGCTATAGTAGCCATGAGCATGCTACTGCACTCCAGCCTGGGTAACACAGTAAGACTCTGACTTTAAAAAAAGTATAGGCATAGATCCTCAAAACCACAGGCACAGATTTGGGATGGAAATGCTTCTCACATGTTGAACTCTGTCATACAGTTTTGCGGCAGTGGTTGGAGGGATTAATCTGTTTGTTTCTCTGACAGTAGGTATGCCCTAACATTAATATTTTTAATTATTCCCAATAGACTTTATTTAAATGTGGTATTATTCCCAGCAGGTATTGCTAATCTATAATATAAATAAAAGGAATCTTTATATATTAGGGCTGTTTTCCAGGTTGGGGGAGGAGGACACAGCAGAGGAACCAATACCCAGTTTCAATAGCAGCAACTGAAAAAATTCGAGTAAAGGTAAACATCATGTTAGCCAAAGTCCGGGTAACTAGCTCAGGAATAAACCTGGGTTTGCTCCAATCCTCTTCTCTCTAGACTGATCAGTTTTTTCTTAGTCTAACAATAAATCACCTTGAGGAAAGTAAGGTTGCATCTGGCTTCCTTCCATCCAAATCTTTCAAAAATTAATAAATAGAATGACAAAAAAATCTAAAGAATATTTTAAAATAGAAAAACTGCAAACTATATTTATACTTTATTTAAAGAAAGCAATATTTGATTATTCACAATCTCTAGATCATAATTTTTAAGATGAAGCATCAGTTGGACAGCTTTCCAAAAGGATTTCATTTTTAAAAAATCATGTGAGTGCTCTTGCTCACAGACACTTAACAATCAGTATAGCCAGACTTCTTCAAAATAAATTGTTTGACTGTCAGAATGAATTTACTAATATAACAGTTATATAACTCTCCTAAACACAGGGCAAATGACATATAGTGAGTAATGCAATCTAATTCATGGTTCTTTTATATTCAAAATAGTGAATTACTCTTCAGTCTTTACATGTACAGTCTTTTTTATATGTACTAAATATTTCTTTAAATGTATCCCCCCCCACTCTATAACTAATGTGAACTGGACAAGCCTGGGTTTTAAAAATCTTATTAGGAAAACAAGGCTACACTGAGGGGAAAAAACACCTAAAAGCACTAATTTACTGGGAGTACTTCTGAAGTATCCATTTGTAACCGACTGCCTCATTTTAAAATCCATTTTAAATGTTCTTTACTTCTCTCATTCTCCCTTTCCTCCCTTTTCCCACCATACACTCCCTTGCACTGTGTTCTTATCTGATTATGTGCTTGCTTAGAAGTTCTGGGGGCTAAGCTTTAGGAATTTTGTGAGTTTTTTGTTTTTGTTTTTGTTGAGGTGAGGTCTCTCTATGCTGCCCAGGCTGATCTAGAACTCCTGGCCTCAAGCAATCCTCCTACCTTGGGCTCTCAAGGTGCTAAGATTACAGGTATGAGCCAGTACCCAGGCTCTGGGAGCTAATCTTGGAGCAAATCAAATGGCAGTAAGATTCTCTCCCACCTGGAGATTACCTCAAGGCTGCAGTTAATCTACAACTCTGAGATGGCACAAGCCCATAAACCAGATGGGGCAGTAAATCAGGATGGCCATGGAACAAGCAGGCAAACCAGCATCCATTGTTACCCCATATGCTCCCCGTTTTTAGTTTCCCTTTTTAAACTCCTGCACGCAGCCCACAAGTTGAAATCGGTTTTTTAAGGCATGAACCCAGCCATTTCCCCATGTGCTGGCTTTTGGAATAAAATCACCTTCCTTCCACTACATCTTGTGCTTGTTTATTTTGGTGCACAAGCAACAAGAAGAGCTGAGCTTGCTATTGGGAACACTTTCATATAATATTCATATGCTAATCTTAAAAAGCCCTAATTAGGCAATATTTATTAGCTTAATGTCACTAAATAGACACTTAAAAGTAATAATTATACTTTCAGAATTGTATATTTTAACCATCTCCCTAATTAGTTCCAATTAGTGAGATTTTACCATTTGAGAAGAAAGTTAATTAATTCCATCAAGGTAGGTCATGTGTTGGTTATTAAAATCTGCAAAGGTGAGAAATTCATGTTATACATTATTTAAGTTTACTGACTTTCCATTTTGCTGACATGCACTGCTAACCCCGTTTTCGTTTTCTAAACTTTTTCTCCCTTCTACCCTGCCAGAAGCCCTTCTATATTAGCTCAGACTTTTGGGTTACAGAGAAGAGGGATCTGACAAGCCCATCCCGCTCAAGGGCTATGTCTTCACACCAGAGAGTAATTCCATTTTGAATAGGAGTAAAAGGAAAAGCCAAGTATTAACTAAAATAATGAACCCATAACAAAGGAATTTCAGGTACTACCTCGGAAGAGATTTGGAGGTTACATAAATGCCTCCTCCCCCCACTTGTGGAAAAGAGGATAGCACACATATATAAATAGCCTAACAAATAATTATAAAGTAAACGACTGTTGAGTCACCACCTACTTTAAGAATTAAAACATTGAGGACAATTTCCCAGCACTTCATACATCAACCTATGCTGGACAATTCTTTGTCTCTCAGAGAAAGCTAAAACTTCCTTTCTACCTAAAATATCTAGAAACACGAATTATTATGTAAACATTTCTTTACTTATAATATATACAACAACACTATTCATTGATTT